AGTATTCACCACGTGACCAAGTATTCCTTCTGCTAGCTTGCAACTTGTTAATTACACAATTATAAGAAGTTTTCATGCCAGTTTCATCCCTAAGAACTTAAAAAGTAAGTAAAAACAACGCCGACCCCAAGTTGATGACGTCATTGCGGACACCATCGGGCCGTTTCGGCGAGTAAAATGCAGTCCTGTTTTTGAGTCTAATTTGCCTCCCTTAAATCAGGACCAATACAGTCCAATTACCTAGAGCTGATTTGGACCCAAGGGCTGAAATGGGTCCCAGCGTGGACTGGAACAGCCTTTTGATTGAGCTGTTTTGGCTTAAACTATGCACTGCTCCAGAAGCACCGAATCAGACTTTGGCTCGCAGGACTGGATTGGCACTTTGGAGCTGAAACAGTTCTTTTTAATTTCCAGTGTATTAACAAAGCTGTTTTATGTTTACAAATGTCCCATTCAACATTGAACTATTGGTTGTTTTGAAAGTTAACAAGACTATGGCATGTTATCCTTGAACTGCCTCGTACCCAGGCAGCTCTCTCTCGATGAAAATGTGCATGCAAGCCTTGCGGTTCATCACCAGTCACTCGCGTTTCGGGCTCGCCTCTGCCATGCGAAAAACGAAGCGCCTGAGGAGGAGGCTGATCCTTATGTATGTAATAAGCCTCTGCCTAAGTATTCTCTGTAGAGTAATGAAAATCCTTGCTACTAAAAGGAGAAACGCCTTGGACATTTTTCCTCTCCCTACTGAGTTGAGCACTTTCATATCTCGCACGTGATTGGCGTTTAAACAGTCTACCAGTCGAAATCCACACAGACCTTACCACGCATTGATTTACACAAGCTGATCAAGTTCAGTTCAACTATCTTTGCGCCTTGCTTCAGCTCAGTCGCACGTGCGATATTTTGCTAAAGCCAAAGATGAAAGAAAACAAAGAGGAAATTGACTGAAAATGGGATTAGTTAATCGACTCTTGTTCAAGGTCTTCAATTACAGGCTCACCATCGCTGATTGTGGGTTACCAACTTTTTTCCTTTATATTCTTAGAAAATAAAACTTCAGATTCACCTGGGGAGGAGCTTGGCCGAGTGGACAGAGTGCTGGACTTGTAATTCGAAGGCCCCGAACTCGTCCCTGCACCCTGTTGACCGATAGCTTGACGATTTGTTCTCGATAGTCCCTTGTCATGCTTTGAAAATAGCCAGCTGGTTTGCCTCTTTTGAGTTGGGATTCTTGACCCTGTTAAGTTTGATTTAAATTTTTTGCTTCAGGCATTTGCTTTGCCCCACTAGAATCAGTGCTAAAACAAACTGTAATGTTTTTTTGTGCGGCCATGCCTCCAATTACACAAACCGCAAAAAAAAGGAACTTGATTTATTTAAACTAACGCGAGGTTGTAATGTCAGTCATTATCCAACAAAATATTATCTTTCGAAAGTTGCCTTAATGAAATAATTACAATTAAGAAGAAGTTAGGAAATCCACTCTTGGGTAAAGAAATCACTTTGTAGCACATCATTCAGTTCACTGGGATCGGAAATACAAGACATGCCCACGATATTCAGTTATATTTAGAAATGACAAAGTTAACTCCAAAATCCTTCTGAAAGGTCAATCGTTTGATTGATCGTGTTAACATAGACCTGTCTTCGAGTGAATTTAACATGCATGTTCTGCGCATGCCCTGTTTAATTACAAGACGTGGTCTATGGAGAACCCATCAATACAAAGAAAGCACCGTGGAATCATTATGGCAGCTCTGAGCAACAGCGAGAAGAATCACCAGAATTGAATTAGCCGAAAGACTTAACCATCCTTTTACCTTCAAATGGGAAAAATAATGATCCACGTATGTATGCTATTGAATTTTTTCTTCGTATAATTTTAACATTTTAGTCCAGTCAATCTATGCATTTTCGAGGCTCAACATCAAACTAATTGCAACAAAATTGTTTTCAACGCCATTTAAGTGAGGGTGGCCTATCTAGCAACATGCTAAAAATCCGCCAAAATCCGTTCGGTGGAACATGTCAAAATTAAGCGTTATTAGCACAGAACACCAACTTTTTTTGAAATTATACGTTCAAACAAAAAAAAATACACAAAATGTGTTTGTTACCTTTATGGAAAAGTAAAAGAAGAAAGAATAACTGCTACCTAGTTTTCAGTGATAAAAACGAAGTGTTTCTTTATTCCAAGAAAAATAAATATGAAACACGGTTGGCTTTTGCACAGGTTCCACTTAGAAACCCCAAAATAACAGAAGGCTTTCAGAGTAATAGAGTGAATTGTTGGCTGTAAAACTACGACAGATTTAGTCGTAAGGCTTTAAATCTGAAAAATGAAAGCCGTTACTTGATCATTAGCTTTTAAAATATATCCTTTTTTCTCAGATTTCTGTTAGCCGCAAGGGCAAGAAAAATAGATATCAGAACTGGATTTTTGAACGACGTTACAGCCAAAATAGAGCTCTCTTTCCTCAAACATGTATTCAAAGAAGTCAACATAAATTAAAAACTAAGAGTGCAGCCGTTCCTTTTTTTCTTCTTTTCCTTTCTTTAATTCTCCTCGCTCTCTCTATGTTCCCTTTCCCTGTTCTTTTTCAGGAGGATTCTCGGGCTCATTTTGCCTTTGGTCTTTTACTCAGTTCAAAGACTGCGATTTTCGTTCGGTACGTTTTCAAAAATCCAGCAAGATAATGCTTTGGCTTTTACGGTTACCTGTACATTAATTTTCCTTAACGTACCAACATCTTCAAATATACAAGTTTCACTTTTTTGAAGCTTTTCATTTTCTTCTTGTTAAAAGTGAATTGGGAGAGGAGGGGAGGATAGTTTTACTAATTCTTTACGATGCACAACAACAGCAACAATTCAGAGTTGTTGAGCAGGTTAAGCTCCAATGCCTATGAATTTGATAAGAGGGAAATGTGTTTTCATTTAAGGAAAAGTGTTATTACCTTCGCAAAAAAAAATATAAAGGTTAACGGAACATTCATCGCGTAAGAACTTTGTTCCAGCAAACGTTTGTTTCAAGAAAACGAAATGAATTATATAATAGGGAAGCTGGTTTTTAAGGGAAAGATTAACTCCGGGTAGCAAAAACAATGCGTACGTAAAAATATCTTGTAAGAGTATATAGAGTAATGGAAATTCCCCACGCAGAACATAATTCACGCAACTCTGTCAGAAGGTTAACATGCAGTAAATTGAAGTGTTACACAACGCTCATCCGAAGAGAAACATAGGTTCCGCAAAAAGACGTAAGCCATCAGAAGCTAGCAGGCAAGCCCATTAATGTCGTACATATGTGAAGTACCTTCGGGCCTTCATTGACCACTGCAAATTTTTTTCAGACGTACAGGACCACATGATCGTTATAGAAAAAGAGGTCTTCATTTACCAATGGACGAAAACAAACTGGTCAAGGTTCAGGGTTGTTCTCACAAAAGAAATGCAAGGAGGGAATATAAACGCCTTTAGACTACAGGGCGATTAATCTACTTATTCATCTTACGAAGAAATGAAGGGCTGCCGCAGAAAATACAAAATGAACACACAAAGGCACTAAACTAAATCTGAGAGTCGCCACAAGAAGATAAAAAAAATGAACAATCACACTGCGCTTAGTTTTCTCGATTTTCCTTACAACAGATTTGGCCATGTGTAATGAAAAGCGCAGAGCGTTACGAGCTAGCAAAAAAACAAATAGACGGAGTCCTTAGCAGAATATTTATTCACTTACATTGTAAAGTAGGGAGTCATAATCCTAAAGGAGGTGGCACATGTCGCGAGATAAAAAAGAATCCCTGATTTCGATCACACATATTGTGTCCAAGGATTGAAGATAACTACCTCACAAACTCGATTACACAAAATGGGAACAGGTTAAACAGTTTGTACTGATACAACGCTTTCGTCCGTTGCACACATTTGGCATCATGTATCCTTCAGCATGGATGCAAATTTGGCAGCTGACTGATGGTGAACAAAATATCAAATCACACTGTTCACCATCGGTCAGCTACTAAATTTGCACCCATGTTGCAGGATATAAAAAAATACCAGCCTGTAAAACTGCTAATTAAAAACTTACTGAATTTCTGATATTGCGCAAAAAAACAATTACTAATATTTTTAACCATGTTAACACAGAGTGATTGATAATTTTCCCTTTAAATACCGTCAAAGAAAAAAAAATTAAAGCTTGGAAAACAGAATGTGACAACAGACGAGTGGCTGGGGAGCCTGTGCAAAGCCGTCAAACGAAACACTGACCCAGGTGTTTCTCACACAAGACAATGTATTATAATACATTATCAAAATTGCTTTTCAAGAATTTCAGGAGCCCAAGAGACACCCAAGACTGCAGTATGAGGATACCGCTGTACATCGCGATGTATGCACTGCTGACCTCTTTGTGTTCTGCAAGAAGAAACAGCAGCAACAGCAAACCCCCAAAAAAGAAGGTGAATATGTGAATCCAAACGTCTCGCTTTTCTTTCGTTAATCGTGCCCTCCAATGATCACAGATCACCTATGCCTATACGGTCCTATTCAATTACAATTCTACTCGGTAAAACTTGGCTGGTGGCTAGCGAATGTAGGATGGTTAAGCCATTTAAGCTAAATATTCTTCATCAGATTACAAAAAAAAACCAAACAAAAAAAAAACAGCACTGTCTCAGTACATGCATACCCCCATCTGCAATACATGGTATTACCGCATAGGTTACAATAACAATAGAAAAACACACATGGACGATTTCCATTTTGTTATCAGTTAAAGTGTTAAAGTTACAAGAAAAAGTTTAATAATGCAAGTATCATTCAACTAATACATTTTATACTTTACAATCAACAGACTTCATTTGGGTCATGTGGTCAGAGTGTTTGCTGCTTCACACCAGGAATTTCATGGATCCCAGGAAGCCCTGGACCCGCGGGATCTCCGGGAAATCATGGACCTGAAGGACCCACGGACCTAAAAGGTAACAAAGGTGATGAAGGATCTCCTGGAAAGCAGGGCCTCAAGGGCGATACAGGTCCCGCGGGACCAGCGGGTCCAGCGGGGAGCAAAGGTCAACCAGGGGTTCGCGGACTCTAGGGTCCTCCAGGTCCCCAGGGAGCTCCAGGATCATTGGGACGGAACTGGAAGCAAGAGGGTAGACGACGACAAGGACTCTGGATTGATTAAGGTAAACACTTAACTCCTTCTTTTACTTAAAAAGAAGTCCCAGTCATTTAGTTATGGATAATTTTAACATTTGTTTTCATGAATGAATCAGGCTAAAATTTCCAAACATCTTGAGAGAACAAGAAAACATCTAAAGCAGACACTGCAGCTGCCGCAGGCTAGTTACTACCGGGAATGGCTAAAACACCGCAGCTTTCATTGTTTACAAATAAAACACTCCTACTGTCAACATCAGTTTCTCCGCTATTTAAGTATAAAAAGGTACACATATGACATTCAAACAGACAGAAAATGAAAAAGTGAAAAACTAATTTCAACCAATCAGTTTCAACCTCTGTCTGTTTGCCTCACTGCTATTTCTATTCGTTTTAAAAGGAATGCATTTTCAAGAAAACATTCGACAATACCGCACTGCGGGTCTTCTGGAATGGAGATTTCCGCGTCAGTAACTGCGATGATTGCTGCAACAGGTGGTATTTTACATTCAATGGAGCGGAATGTGCTATTCCGGGAGCCATTGATGGTATTGTGTACGTGTCGTTGGGTACTAACTGGAGAAAGAACCCACACCGCCCACTCCACGTTGAAGGAATCTGCGAGAAGCTCCACAAGGGGACAGTACGCGTGGGATTCTGGGTGGGTAAATGTGCTTCACGAAAACCTGGTGACGCGTACACGGGTTGGAACTCAGTGTCCCGGATCTACGTGGAAGAAGTATCTCCTCCGCAGGCCTAAAATAAAAAGTCATGCTCGTTGCCCGCCCTCTTATTATTTTTTTAAGGATGCTTTAAAGTTCTTAATGAATAAAGACTGTCTAAAAGTAATAAGCGGGTACTGTCAAGAGCCATAATAGTCCTATTATGGCTCTTGGTACTGTTAGTTAAAATCAGTATGGTTGTGGAAGTAGCTGATAAACAGACTGAAGTAAATAAAGGCAATAGATGATGAAGGGTATCATTGATTGAAGGTTTACTCTGTGACAACATCACATACCCTAATTAGTTCGAATTTCTCTCGTTGTAGAACGACTGTCCAAGAATAGGTGAAAAGCTGTATGCTCATATAAAACATGGTCCATACTACAGAAAAAAAAATAAACTAAGGTAATGGCCATTTTTCTTTCTTTTTTAAAATTCATCCTTGTCGATGCAATGTATTGGTTATTCCTCGCACAAAGTACGATAGCCAATCGTGCTTGTTAAAGTAGTTTTTGTCTTGACGGCCTCGTTAACTCTTCATCCTTAACTTCTGAAGTAAATTATATATTAAGTGATGCTTGATCATTTATATCATTGAGACTGCGAATAATTGCTAATATTCAACCACATATCCTTGTTAATTTCAAGGATCAATTATTTTTTCACATTTGGTGTTTCGGTACAGTTTTTCGGAGACCATACAGATGTTTTTCAACCGCGTTAAGGTGATTCCTTAGTAAAAGAACCTAACATAGATTGTAGATGAAACTTGGTACACTGATGTAAGAAGTCAAGAAGATGATAAAAAGTAGTAAAAAGTGGGGGTCATGGTGCTTGTTTTGAAGTTGCAATGCGACTATTTAGGACCCTTTGACAAAAACCGCGCGCAGCCCAAAACTGGACAAAAAGCGAACCATACAATTTTCTAACTGTACTAAGGGCCTGTTTACATATGGAGGTGGAAGACCCCAGGTTTGTGAGGTAACCCGCTTTGGTGGGTAACCCGACTGTCCACATAATCTCTCATTTTAATTTGTTCACGTTTACATGATAGGTTGGGTGACCCGCTGCATGTTACCTCACCTATCTGGGCTCCCCCACCTCCATGTAAACAGGCCCTTAGAGCAAACAGAGAAGCGCCGGACACATTACCGAAATAGTTAACTATAGTCTTAACTATAGTTAGTTGCCCAGATGTGACGGCAGCCAATGTTTTTCATTCAAAAGATACGATTATGTTTAAAAGTGAAATGTACTAGTCATAGTATGGTTCGCTTTAATTTGGAAAAATTAGCATAACGTCAAAACAGCGATTGTTACAGCGCGGATTTTTGGCCGCGGTTGGTAAGCTAAGTTTGTCTTGAAATTTCAAGGTGTTGCAGAAGAAGCAATCTTCATGAAAGTTTCAGACATTATTATATGCATAGTGAAGATTAAGTGACGAGGTTTAAAACGAATTCTGTCGAGCCGTTTTAGAGATGTACAGAAAAGCACTAGAAGTCAAAATTTAGAATAAAGTTGCACTTAGACAGGTGGCGAGAATACAGGTTAGTTCTCAGGATCGCAAGAAACAAAATACACCAAAATTTCCAAGCAGCTAAATATGATATTAAGCTACTTAAGAATAATTTGATTTATTTAGAATTTTTTTATTAAACAATTTCTCATTTACGTTTTAATTGAATTCAAAAGTACAGAATTTTTTTCTCACCGAGGTGTCGGATTTTCAGTATCAGGTCTAGATCGCGCAAAATTCGGCTTTTATAGATTTCAGAGTTTTTTGTTTATTGTTGTCATAGCGATATCGATTTCACGTAAAACTGTATTTTAACAAACCTCAATTCATAGTTAATCACTGGTGAAAATTTTATAGCAATCGGGCAAGGATAAAATCATCTTTATGGCGATTAAAAAATATCGGTATGGACTCCGAAAAACTGTAACGAAACACTTTAAACAAGAACTTTCCAGTTTCGTAATAGTTTTCCCTGCAATCACGCCGACAAAATTAGTTGAGACACTCCGCCCTAACGGGGCTTTCTGACGTTTTACTGAATTCCAGAGGGGAAAATAAAGCTTTTCCTCCCCCAACCCCCCCCCCCCC